GTAAATGAGCTTCAAATGATGTGCGTTTTACCGGTACAATTCTAGACGATAATATAATATCGTCATAATAATGACGTCACATAACCAAAGAGGAGAGTGGGAGATGGAACACAATCGCATTAGAACAAAAATACCTCAACTCTTTCAGTTCGCACTGATCGTATTGTAACAAAAAACAAGTCACTCAAACTTGAGATCGGACTTGTAACTTTCAGGATGGCCAATGTTGCATTGTAAATTTTACCAAAACCCATAATCATGGGTAGAGTGGACCGCTGCCAGTGTCTCTCTTTCCCAAACAAAAGGAAATGATATTAATTTGATTGACCGTTCTCAAATGCAAAATGATACCGAGAATGAAATCGGTCGCTCGCTTTTCCCCCACAGATGCCTTTGGGTAGTTCTTCTTAATCTATTACAATTGTAAATGAATGGGAAAAGCGAGGGACCGATTTCATTCTCGGTATCATTTTGCATTTGAGAACGGTCAATCAAATTAATATCATTTCCTTTTGTTTGGGAAAGAGAGACACTGGCAGCGGTCCACTCTACCCATGATTATGGGTTTTGGTAAAATATCATCTCTTTTTGATTATAATGTCAGGGTACTTTATAACGTCGAAATATAAACTGATATCTTCATTAATATTAATAAGGAGGAAGTTTCCACGATTTAGAAATTTTTCCTTTAAAAACATTTCCTTGTGTTTAGGTAAGCATATCGGTCGATCACTGACTGAATATGCCACTTTATACTCATTCAAGTTGGCATTAAATTCATATAAAATGACATTAAAAAGCAGAATTTGTTGGAAATCACGAATGAGCAAAATTCTCACTTTTCGCACGTGCAAACTTTGAGCGGACGTTGCGTGCGCATCCAATATTGAATCGCCGTAAATTTTTGCGTGTAATTGTTTTATATATAGCTTGATAAGCATGCAAAGTTTCAAAGTATTTCAAGAAGAACTGTAATCACAACGGCACTCTAAAGTTGACAGAAAATGACGAAAACAGCAATTTTCAGTGATTTTAGCAATTTTCTATCAATTTGGGCGTGTCCCCACGTGTGCAACTTTTCGATTTTCAACTTTAAAACTAGCCTAATGCACAATTTATACATATAGGAAGCAGAACTGAGCTCCACGACAATCTATCGTAAAACAGGGGTTCTAGAAAACCCATTTCCCGATGATCCTGAGACCTGAAACTTTTTTTGCAGTCGATTTGGTCAACGTCTAGACGCTCTGAAAAATTTCAGATCTCTAACTCGATTTTAACATGGTTATTAAGGCTCCTGAATATGGCGATTTTGGGTTTTTTACCGAATTTCGTATAACAGTGCTGGAGAGTATTTTATGCAAATTTCTTAAAAATCTCAACATAACTATTTTTTATTCCTGTCATCTTTGACATCAAATTAGAATGTTTTGAACTAAAATTAAATCTGCTGAACGACTTCCGATGAGTCTTAATGCCTGAAAAACTCCTGCCGGAGGCGGCGGCCTTCGGCCGCCTCCTCCGGCCGGAGTGCACGCTTCGCGTGCACGAAAGAGGCTTGTAACGTGTACCAAAGGGGGTATAATAGTAAAGGGGGTATAATAGTAAAGGGGGTACATAGTATACCCACAATAAATGCACCGGTCGTGCTTGCCAGCACTGTGATAGTTTTTATTTACAAAATGAAACGTTATCATCTGATGAGTTAGGGAAGATCGGAGTCATTTGCCGGATAATATGCAACAAAGATAATATGCGAACTTAAATCGCATGTACATCCCAGCAGATGATCCGCATAAAATAAAATGCCTCAAAATCATCTTTTAGGCAGGTGCCTAACTTATTGGATGACAATTAAAACTAAATAAACCTTTTCCGGGTAGAGTTAAACAAAAGATCAATACTTATTGCGTCTTTTGATCGGATTATCATGCGGCGTTCTTTCAATGTGCTGAAGTAACGAGGAATACTGTTTTACTTTTCTGACTATTGTAATTTGTATTTTAATTACTAATATACGCCTAAACCTCTCAACAGAGCGTCGATTAAAGACATTTGCCGTGATTATCTAGCGTCTTTTACTTTATCTAGCGTCTTAAATAATACGAAATAACCGGCTGTCTCGTTACACAACAAAATCGATAGAAAATACTATATTCATACTCCAGCATTCCAGAAAATTGTAACCACTATCGATCCTATACCAATCTTATCATTATATTATAAAATATTTACATAAAATGTCCACGGAACCAAGGTTAATGACCGGTAATTTCGTATTATTTAAGTATTACAACATAGGTGAGATATTCAAATACACGCCAAATGTCTTTCTAATCAACGCTCTAACAAAAGACATAATTATGGACGAATATACTGGCAGTATAATTTATCATGTTTATGTCTTTTATCAGAGGCTTAAAGAAAATCGTACATATACCCAACCTGTGATTGTCTTCTAATCATTCATTTCAAAAGACATTAATCGATATTGCATCTCTGTAGTTACGATATGGTACGTGAATTCACTGTACGTGGCTCTGAGAACACTTAAATTAATAAAACTTGGTTAATTAAACATTATCTTATTATAAGAAATCTTAAATTAGAGGTTTCGAGTACCCAGGTCTCAAACCTTGAAAAGGAACATTATTATCAAGGGCTCGCAGGGCAAGGAAGATTTATTGTTATCATAAATATTTGCAGTGTGGTGACGTGATAATAAAGATAAACGGAGAAGACATGGCCAGGTGGACCCACGAAGAGATGCTGGAGGAACTCTACCACGCCCAAAACACCCTGACTCTCACCCTTATCACCTACCAACACCAGCAGACTAAATACCTCCTCTTTCTGGACCTGTCACCCGGTGATATCATTAATATCTGGGCACTTAATAACTTGGTGTCACTCCACATTTGTGAGACTAAAATGAAGAACGGGGTCGTGGATCTGAGAGGGATAACGTGTAAAGGAGTTTTACAAGAACTAGCGGTTACTAAGAGCGAGCTGGATACCATCAATGGTATCATGGGGTTGGAGCAGTTCACTAAACTGAAGCGGCTCAATTTAACTCACAACAGACTGTGTTCTCTAGACGAGGACGTGATGATGAAACTGAGCTCGTTAGAGGAACTCAGACTTGGGAACAACAATCTGGACAAGTTCCCCCTGGTCCTGACGGATATGATCACACTCAGAGACCTCTCCTTGGTGTACAATCTTATCAGTAGCATCCCGGAACAGGTCCTCAAGATGAGAAGTCTGGAGAATCTTCATCTGGATAACAATTATCTTTCTGAGATGCCAGATTTTGTGACCCAACAGCTGCCGTCTTTGAGAAGTCTGACCTTTTCCAGTAATCACCTCTCCTGGGACGAGGATTATGTTCGGGAATGTTTTCACCTCAATCTCATCGACTTCTCTGGAAATGGGACTAGAGCGAAGACTGGGTTGGACAATTTTGGGGTAATCAGTAGCAGGGCTACTCTCAGAAGAAAGGGGAGGAATTTATTGAAGGAACCGTCTTTATTGAAGATGGCATTGGCTCGCTCTGCGTGATCAGAATCCTGATCAGTATCAGGTGTCGAACTGAATTTTTTATAACAGCTTACGCGTAACTAAAAACCGGATGAAACGGACTCAAAATAGAAACAAATAGAACTCGACATTGAACGCAATTACTTTAAACAGTTAAAGCTAAATAAATATTGTAACAGTAAACAATTTATTGGGTCACGGCCAAATGATAAAACAACGACCATTTGATCAAAGAAAGTTGCAGACCAACTACTTATAAAATTATTACTTATATAATTGACTAATGACTACTTATACTTTATTCGAATCACACATCCTCAAAGCAATGGGGGCTTTTGACCACTACCGGGAGGTTTCAGCTCTTAAATATCCTGTTTAATGGTTATGTTAAGTGTCCATTTATTAAGACGAATGACTGTTGATAGTTGTTGCTATAAACTTATAAATAAAATATAATTGTTGGACTTGTGTCTGTATGGTTAGGATGTGGCGATGAAACTGCATAATTTTTCGTTATACGATTAAATTTACAGACGAATTTAAAATTGGCTGGGCCATTATGTGGTTAAACTTAATCATTATATGTCAGAGACAAATATTTACAGAAAGCAAACATTCATGAAGGAGTGGATTGAAGTTATATACTTTGCCTACTCGGAAATTCGTACCAACAAAACCCAACCTGAAGAAGAGAAAATGACGGAAGGATTTAACCCGGCTTTGTATGGCATGAAGCAGACATTCTGACAACTTTCAAACACGGACGAATGGTATTTAGGCGTGATATAGAACTTCAAAGAAATTAAAATAGCGATCAAATGGCTGCAACGCCGCCCAACAAGCCTCAACAGTGATGAAAACTATTGTCCCCCAGATAGTCTCATGTAATCGTCCTAAACACGGAGCCTACGGGAAAGTAGCGAGCTAGCTTCATCTGTCTCACTCCAGCATCCAGCCATGATTTGTGGAGGAATCACGTGACTCGCGGAATAAAAAACGTGACTTTTGCGGGATCACGTGATATTTCCACAGATCACGTGTTGCAAGATAGCTTACCTGCGACATGAAGTTGTAATTCATGCTCCGGCGCAGGTGTCACCCGGATGAATTAGAAACCTTACCAATATTTTGGTTTGACTGAGATATCATGGGGAATGCACGGTTGAGCTTCTAAGAATGCGTCAATCTTGAATCTCAGATCATAGTGACGACTGATGAATCCTTTTCAGATTAAGATCCTGTTCAGATAGACCAGAAACCTGACAGTGGTACAAGTTTGGAATTTAGTGAACTCATTTCCCAGGTCTGACCTCAGTGTCAGTCTAGGCGGGATTCAAGCAGCCAAGCGATCAGAATTACTGCTTTTCCCAAACATGTTATAAACAGCTGTGTTTAAAGAACTATTTACACCAATCAAGGGTGACGGCCACAATGACTGTGTCAGCAAATATCCACTATTCAAAGTGTAAGGATATGAGATATGTCTCGCCAGAGTAAGTCTTGTAACTTCAGTCTAACAGGCTTGACTACCCAGCCTGAATACTGAACACTGAGCTGTTGTCTCGGAAACCAAATCAATCCAAAATACTTATCTCTGATTGGTCCATTGTACGCACGTGGGCAACACAAAAGCCTTTGATTGGCTGTCTAAAGAAGTCACACGACAACACCAGGTAACCAGATCAATACCCTGCTCGGTAACAGGAGGAGTCAACCGACAGAGGAATTGGAATAATAATAACTCATTTGTAGGAGGACGTTTTAAACCCATAGCAAACAATGCTGGGAAGAAGCTGAAATATCACCTGGATATTTAACTATACCTCCCTTTAAATCAGCATCTTATTATCCTTGAACAATTCATTTCTGTTATAAAATTATAAAGTAAAATAAAATTCATCGCCTAAGCTGCATAAGAAAGTAAAACGAACTCCGTGCGTTACTGCTTTATTGTAAAGGTGGTGGCTTAAATTATATTCAATCGAATAAGCATACCAGTCCTAAAGTTCACGAAGAACTAAATAATCTTAATCAATGTCATTTCTGAAGAAGGCATACCTTAGCTCAAAAAGGTTTGATTGTAGCACTGATACTTAAATGTTTCTTCTGTGTTACTATTGATATAATTGAGCTCAGTAATTATGGCTATGTCATTCGTGCTTGCTGTGATGCAGGTTACATTTCGATTACAAATTAAACGCCAACTGAATTTCAAATTACTTCTTTGAGTCAAGCAGACGGGACAATTTGTAAAGTTCATAAATTGTCTAGACAAAGTCTGAGCAGACTTGCAGCACAGACACGGTCGGAAGGTTTCGCTTGCTCCAACAAAAATAGCAAAAATATAATTATATCCAGTATAATGCACATACCTGCTCACGTCCCAGATATTTTCTTTTTGGATGCGGAATTATCTATTGCCAAAATTCGGAACTTACGATAAAAGCAGCTAGGTTGGTTCACCACAAACTATAGAACTACAGACTAACAAAACATTTCACATAATATTGCAGAAACAATTCACAATCGTATGTGACGACAAGGTAGTACAATAGGAACAGAATAAGGTACACAATAAGGTACATTTTAGGGTACATATTAGGGTGCATATCAAGGTACATATTAAGGTACATATTAAGGTACATAATAAGGTACATAATAAGGTACATTTAGGGTACATATTAGGGTACATATCAAGGTACATATTAAGGTACATAATAAGGTACATAATAAGGTACATAATAAGGTACATAATAAGGTACATAATAAGGTACATAATAAGGTACATAATAAGGTACATATTAAGGTACATATTAAGGTACATTTTAGGGTACATATTACTATATTAGGGTACATAGTAGTACCTTAGGTGCATTTGCATAGATCATGGTAATGAATCATGTGTCAGATCTTATAATTATTACAAAATTTAGCAATATTATAAAGATTAAAGATATTCATTGTTCAACATCTGCCAAGGAACCGTTCATATATTATGCAACCAAGGTAGGAGGGGTTCAGAAATTCTATTACGCTATAAAGTATATAGCGTATAGTATATAGTGTACTTTATGCACAATACTACAAAAGCTGTACTGTATGTAAAATGGCTAGTGGAAGGGGATTTAAATTCTCCAAAATCTGGCTTCAGCGTAATATATGTGTATAAATATAATCGCTAACTGAGAAGAAACAATTACGAGTCATTTATTATTCTTTACAATCTAGAACTGAGAATAGATAACATTCTACTGGAGAGCTCTTTGTCGGGGTTTATTTTGTTGGTAACTTAAACTATTATCATGGTAACCAGTAGTAAGGGGAAAAGTGGCATTCCGTTGGATTCGAATGTTCACAAGGATTTCTCAACGGAATATGGTAGTTAGGACCCCTACGAACATAATTAGACTTGTTGCCAATTTTGTATCTCAACGGAAACACCACTTTTACCACTTTTTACCACCTTTGTACCACCTTTCTGGTTTGCCAAATATCTTTAGTTGTGAACGTCGTAGAAGGCTGAAAATTAACCTAGAATGTTTATCTTATCAAGGAGTAAAACTTTTGTATGAAAAATTTTTACATTGGACAATCAGCTAATTGGATAATTACCAATTAGTTAATCACCAAAAAAAGTGAAAATTTTTTATTGGCTCAAAATGATTGAAATCGTTTGAAACACGGAGAAATGTAGTTTTTAGAAAAACTTCAAAAATTTTTGACTTAAAATTTTTTTTCGAGACTTCAAAAAAAAAGTTTGAAAATTTGAAAATATTTTTTGCCGCCAAAAGTGATCGAATTGCATGAAACGTGGATAAAAATGCCTTGCAGAAAAATTTCGAAGATTTTTAGATTGAGGAATACTAAAATCATCAATATTTGAAGTTGGAGTTCAGTAAATCTCGACATATTTTAGTAATTAGGAATAGCTTAGCGGAAAGGGCTGGACCTGAAAAAGGTTAACCACACAATATTAGAGTTTCATAACTAATTACAATACAGCTTTATCAAATTCCACATAAAGAAACAGCACAAAAGGACCATTTAAGATCGAACCGATTTTACCTACTGTACTATCATTTTATTGATTTCAATGATCAAAACCTCTGTCAATCTTGCCAATCTATACCGGGTATCTGAATGTACCGGACCTCTTATTTACCTCTATAATTAGACCCAGTTGTGCAAGAAATGCGATTTCTCACAGGGGTTTCTTTAAACTGTGCACTTTTTGTCACTCTCGCAACTCGCAAGAGGCCTGGTATTATAGGGGGGTATAGGAAGCGAGTGTAAATATACCTTCCATCATCCATTGTGGCTATTTTGTATTGTGAATGCGCATGCCGCTTCGTTTGCTATGCCATATACCTCGAATAACCCCCATATGTCATTGCCAGGGTCGGGATAGAGCTGGAGATAGCATTGAAAAGTTGCTAGAAATAGCTAGATTTAGAGTAAACTGGTGGTAGCTGGGTGGTGCTAGCATGGATGTAGCAGAACGTAGCTACACGGGGTTTCATTGGAGTTGGTTATTTTAATGGCCAAAGAGTGCCGGAACTAAAGTTACTAAAGATTGCAGTTGAGGGGCAGTGTAAACCACGGTGTAGTCAGGGACACAGAGCTACAGTGCAGGAGTACTGCAAAAGAACAGTGCAAGTGATACAGTCTGCAACAGTAAAACTCCGAAGAAGGAGATAAGATTGTGGCTGCAGAGGAGGAGAGTAGCTGGAACCTGATTGTGTTTGTGTTGAAAGAAGAGGAGGAAGAAGAGTTTCCTGCTCTGGTAACTGCATTTTTGGAAGAGGTGGGGTGAGAACTTATTTTCAAGCGACAAGGGTGGGCTGGAAGCAACCAGATACAGCTATCCGACCTATTAAGATCACCGTCCTGAGCTTAACAGCATTTCATCAGAATCTGATGAAAACAGAGAGACTGACCCACCCTTTTTAGATCCAACGAAACCCTTTATATAAATCGATTTTTCCGCATGAATTACGTCATGGTATCTTCTTATCAAGGCT